GCCCAATGGCCCATCTTCCCGCAACGTCGGCAGTGGTTGGGGTTGACCTTCTTCTTCAAAGAAGAACAAGACTTGCCACGGTGCTTGCCATCGCCACCACGGCTGGAGGAGGCTTCCCCGGAGTTCCTTCGGGCAGCCCACTCCTTCTCTATCAGCAATAGCTTGCCGCTGTCCTTCGTTGCTGTGGCCTACGCCATGCGCTCGTCCATTGCCCATAGACGGCCTGTCACATCCTCAATGGTGAGGGTGGACAAGTCCAGCATCATCTCTATGGAGAGAGCAATCTGGATGTACTTCGCCGGCACAGAGTGGAGGTACTTGGAGACCGTCTCTTCTTCATCGATGGTGACGCCGTGGCTCCTCAGCTAGCTGATGAGCGTCTGCAGGCGGAGGAAGAAATCCTCCACCGCTTCACCATCCTTGAACTTGAGGTTGGCGTACTCTTGCTTCAGAAGCTGGGCTGTCGCCTTCTTTGTGCAGTTGGAACCGACGCGCATCGCCACAATGGCCTCCCACTCCTCCTTAGCAGAGCTCTTCGCCCCCAACGGCTCCCTGTACTCCTTTGGCATAGCAGCGAGGATAGCCTCCAACGTTGGCATGTCGTCATCTTCGTTATCAGTGCCCTTGTCAACAGCATTCCAGAGCCGTCGGGCTCTGAGCTTGACCTTCATGGTCACCGAAGACTCGCCATAGTTGGTGCGAGTTAGCGTCGGCCAACTGGTGCTGCTGACCTCCCGCACCGTGCACACAACGACCTCCTGTCGTGGCTGGGCAGCCGCAGCAGCACCGCTGCTATCGCCCATACCCAAACCGTCCGTCATCGCCAACGGTTAGTCCGGCGACGGTGCTTGTACAGCTTTGATACCACTTGTTAGCCCCTAAGATCTCCGGCACGGGTGAGTCGGCCACTCGCCACCGCTGCCGACCACGCACTGTCATTGCCAACCACACACTATGGCTAGAGGTAGAAGAAGGGAGGGAGAATAGAGCACACACACATAGCCCAAGCACCAGCGTTGGCCAGAGCTCTGCAGAGGAGATGGCAAAACTGAACTCGCTCTCTTTGCCGAGTTGCAGTGGCAAACTATATATACAACTCTACTCATCTAATCTAGTACACAGACATGTCAGGCTGCCATGCTGCTACAGTGACCGGATGTGACAGCAGGGCTGACTTTGGCGCGTGCCCCTGCTGTGGCTATAGAGCGGCAAGAGAGCCATTCGGCGCTTGCCCCTGCAGCTGCTACAGTGCAATAGTAGAGAGCCCTTTTCGGCGTCGCCTGTCCCTGCCGTACGTTCACACAAGGAGAGCAGCAGATTACTTAACAATGAGCAGAGGTTTCTTCTGTTGACAAGCTATACAACACACAATTGTAGGATTGTAACCGCATGTTTTTTCTTTTTAGGATGTTTCTGGTGCTTAGTCCATCCTTGAGAAGCAGCCAAAAGAAAACCTTGTGCTTTGGATGACAAGCAATTCCAGAGTCATTTATAAGCCTGATAAACTTCTCTATGCCCGATCAAGAATTTGTAGGTCTTTGAAGCTGAGTAATTAAGTGCACCAATTTGAAGCCCAACTGTCCCGTTGTTCCGTTAGGGGGAAGTGATCTCTTAGTGACTCAGCACTCTGAAGTTGAACAAAAGCTTGATAGAGGTAGGCTAAACAGTTCTATAATTGGTTGCTGTAGATACAGTTTGTGAATTGAGATAATTTTGTTGTTGGCAAAAGAATAAAGCTATGGGTACTCCACTTTTAATGGCTGTTCAATCCAAATATCCTACCAAAACAGGTTTGACCATTTTGAACCTGGATAGTAGAGAAGGATTTGTAGGGTTCCAGCAATTTTAGAATCTCTCTCCACCAAAAGACCCTTTTCTGATGTTACTAAGAAGTTTTTCATTAGGATAATGCTTTTCCCATATTAGAGAGACCCAAGGTAAATCCTTCCTGTTTAGGAACTTATCTAGATTCTTCACGAGTAGAGCTTCATTTTGCTTTTCAGATCAATAACTCCTCGACCTCCCTTATTTTTGGGTTTAGACCATTTCCCATGCAGCATTTGGTGTTTTTTTAGAGTTGAAATCAGCCCCTCTTCACAAGCAGTGTTTTTTAAATTTGTCAGTTTGTTTGAGAACTCCTTTAGGCAAGGAAAGAGCACACAAATGAAAAGTAAGTAGTGAAGTGAGCAAAACAATAGTCAACTCAAGTTTGCCAGCTTGAGAGAGGAAAGATGGAGAGCAAGCTAAAAAATCTTCAACTTTTGGCTTGGTTAACCCCAGGGGGAGACCAAGATAGGTGAAATTAAAGGAAGAGAGCCTTTTGAGCAGCTAAAAGTATTAGCCAGGTGATTGAACTTTTCATCAATGAGCAGGTGCGAGTTCGCTAGCCTTGCAACTGCAAATGCAACCCTGCGAGCCGGCCGGCATTGATCAACTGGAGTTGGAGCAAGGTTTCCGGTCACTGCAAGCGGCCGGCCGGCCGGCCTTCGTCGTTCCATTCTCTGTTTCTGTATTCACTGCTGGCTTGTTTTACATATTGAAGCGTATGTATAGTGTAATGTAAAACTCGCCTGACGGCCGGGATATTGTACACGTATCCACGTGGACTGGTAACAAACACATACATGCACTGCACGGTAAACATGTCGGGAGAGTAGCATCGTCTCCACTCTGCACTAGATTGCAAAACCGGCGCCTGCCTCGGTGGACTGGGCAGCCGGCCGGCCGGCCTAAAGCTCGCTTGGTCGTCCCCCCCCCCCGCCCCCCCCGACGTCGCTGATTTGCTGCACGACACCAGTCTCGAACATGGGCCCCCGGTGCGATCAGCTCCAACGTCTCGTGAGGGTACATATCTTCGGTTCTTGTCTCACACATAGGCCATACTTGTTGGATCATCGTTTACCTAGTCAAAGTTCTTCGATCTCATGGTAGCCAATCACGTGAGCAAGGCCTAGCTACTACGGCCTTTGGGCCTCCACTTGACCTGAAAAATATGTTGTGCCGTCAAAGTGGCGCCTTTTTTTTCGAGGAGGAAGTTATAACTTTTGGCTGGACCTATTACATACTAATCATGAGCACAATACATCTTATACAAGCATAAGTGTCCAAATGGACCAACGCTTAGAACAGCAAAATGCCATTAGACAAAGAAAGTTCCAGAGAACAACATACACAAATTTGAGCCAAAAGAAAAAAAATGCCAAACCTTCCAATGCCTACCTTAAGGATCAAAATTAGCTAGATATAGGCTGATAGATATCATTAACAAAATATGTCGAGTTTTGTACCTTTAGATTTGGTTGGACAATGGTGTGTGCGTCTTACCATCTTTTAGATAATGGAAAGTATCATCTAACTTTATCCTCTTAAGAGATAAAGTCAGACCACACTTATTACATGGTAGGGGTAGAGCCAGGCTATTTTTTAAGCATCCGCATGTAGCATTGCCACTACAAATGGGCATTCCTACATGAGGATCCTTAAGAAAACCGCCAACAAAAATAGGTCTATTTCTAAAATGGTTACCTTAGGTCGGTCACTACTAGAAATTCACTTTTAGAGGTGGTTGTTATAAGCGGCTACCACTATAAATCCGTTTCTAGACAACACATATATAAAGTTTACAAATTCCTCATATGTAACTAGATGAAGCCATTTTTTATACTAAAATTATAGAACTTGATGAGAGGTCTTCTCGACCTGTGTGAGAAGATCTTCTTCTTAAGAACAATAGCCGGGGGCTGTCTTACCCCCGTGCGTCGAGATTTTTTTTGTAGTTGATAATATTCTCATTTAGGAGCATTTAGGTGCCCAAATATTCTACAAATTGTCAGGATATTTTTCAAGGATGATTTCTATACACAAGAGACCTAGAGAAAATCATCACTGAAATTGAAAAGGAATTGTCCTCATGTTATTGACAACACAGTTGTGTAGCTAGTGAGATGGTAATAAGAAAGACTCCCATATGAAAGGAGGTTGTGGTTTGGATCCTGAAAACAGTTACATAAGTGTGCATTTTTGTAGAAAAATTCGTATGGCTTACGGCTTACCTGGCCATGGGATTATGTGGCGGCGTGGCCTCGACGTGAAATTTAATTATTTCCTATTTTCTCACACTGTTTTTAGAATTGATTTTACGCTAAACAGCAATAGTGAAGGTCCATTTATACTGGCAGTTGGTTTAATCAAATCTTTAGTGAAAACAAATATTATTTTGCTGATGGTGATTTTGATCGTTAGTGTAAAAGGCTAGTGAAAATGCTCTAGCCCTTTCGTACTGGCTGTCAAAAGCACTAATAGTGAAAATCAATTTATTAGTCAGTTACATTGTTGTTTGTGTACTAGTAGTTGTGAGATGGGAGAGCAAGAACACGAAATTATAAGAGACGTGGAGACAGACTTAGAGTCTGTTTGGGACTCCTACGTTACATGTTTTTCCGCTTCGCTCTATGTTTTTCAGCCAAATAGATACAACTTCAAAAACTTTGCTCTAAGAAAAAAGTAGAGTTATGAGAGCACATAAAGAGACGCTTCAGAAACTCTGAGTTTTTGCGGAGCTGCTCCACGATGAAATTTATGGAGCAGAGTTTTAATTTGGAACAGTCCCAAACAGACGCTTAGAAGGTTTTATTCCAACGCAATGGTCGAACGGCATCAACGTTACTTAGGTATTCCTCCAGGCCACTGAAGTAACGTTGATGATTTTGGATGAAATAACATCTTTATTCGACCTTGAGGTAGAATCTAAGCACTTAACCGAACGGGGAGACAGACAGCAAATGTTCCCAACTGGACGGTTAACTGACCAACTACCAAAACCCCAAGCCATGTTTCACGTTTCCATTTCTCACGGCTATATAAGGACATGCATGCCTACAGCACAGAATCACAAAAGCACAGCCTCTCCACTCTCCAGTGTGGTTAGCAGCACTGAGAAAGATAAGAGTAGCAGTAGCTAAACAGACCACACACCCAAACTGATCAAACAGCTAGCGAGCATGGCTAGCACAACGATAGCTCGTCTCTCCTTGGCGCTCGCGGCCATCCTTCCCGTAGCTCTTGCCACCTTCCCCCACCGCGCGCTGCTCCAGTCCTGCCAGCCCAACGGCTCCATCCGCGGGAAGTCCGGCAGCTGCAACCCTGATAACGACTCCATGTGCTGCGAGGGTGGGAAGCGCTACACGACGTTCGCGTGCTCCCCGCCGGTGACGGCCCGCACCCGCGGCACGCTGACGCTCAACAGCTTCGCCAAGGGCGGGGACGGCGGCGGCGCTTCCAGCTGCACCGGCACGTTCTTCGACGACGACGTGACGGTGGTGGCGCTGTCCACGGGGTGGTTCAACAAAGGGAAGCGGTGCCAGAATAGCATCGTGATCAGGGCGAGCAACGGCAGGTCCGTGACGGCCATGGTCGTAGACGAGTGCGACTCTCTCCACGGCTGCGACGATGAGCACAACTTCGAGCCCCCGTGCTTCAACAACATCGTAGATGGGTCCCCGGCGGTGTGGAAGGCGCTCGGGCTCAACACCGACGATGGGGAGGTGCCCATCACCTGGTCCGAAGCGTGACGATCGAATTTGCAGCAAATAAAACACGAATATATAGATGGACACTCGCTCTGGCCGGTCGCCTACTCTATATAGTAACACAATTGTCGTTGTCATCGTCATCGTCATCGGTAGTACTCCGTACGTAGCACTACTATATACGTCGTCTGCGTACGACGTTCTATATATTGGAATAAGCTTATCCATATATGTATGCGTCGCTTTTATCGATCTGTTAGGAAGTGTCAAGTGTGCAAGTGTAATGTCTTGTTTTGAATAATTCAAAGTGCTGTTTCCTGAGAACTTGGGAAATGTAAGCGTATTGTTTTGTTTTGTTTTTTATGTTTTGTAGACAAAAAGAACATTATGGGCTAGAAACTTGTATGCTATTTCGATTTTTTTTCCCACAACAGCAGCTTAGTTTGAGTATCTCTTTTACTGGCGCAAAACCAAGTAACCCAAACTCGTGACCAAAGGTCATCATCCATTAGGGACCTTGGCACCGAGAGCTCTCCAGTTCCTCTAGCTTCCAGGCCCCCCCCCCTCAAGCTGGAAAAAAATCAGGTGGGGACAGTTACAAATGGAGCAACCATGCCACCTATCGTAGATTTGTGACACATGTTTATATGCATGCATCTAACATATGAGAGATTTGCAATTTTTATTTTAACTATTTCTCCTAAATTAAATAGTTCCATGCATTGAATGCATATGTATAAACACATGTCGCAAATCCACGGTGGGTGCCCATAGTTGCTCTATGAATAGAGCCTTGCCTGAACTTTTTTCCCTCAAGCAAACTTGCCTGAACGAGGAGGGGTGGTGTGAGCCCCTTTTCTAGGATGTGATTGGTAGCCTTCTCCTTCGAGCCTGTTTTGTATCAAAGATACAGGCTGCTATTGCCCAGGCTGATGCCATGTAAGGACTAGTTGTTCGGTTGGCAGGGTTTGCAGCGCCAGGATGTGAGGAGAAGCCGAAGCAAGTCTTTGGTCACCCGTTCTGTTCGATCCGATATACAGTGGGGGAATTAGGATTTCTTTTCTATCGAGCCAGGCCACATGCTGCCTCTTGCATGTCCACAACCAGGCCCTAGCCTAAGCCCAGCCAACCAAACATTGTGAGCCTGCACCACGGTAGCCAAGTTGGGCCAGATTCATCCAATCACGCCCCTATGGATCTAGTTTTCTACATAGTTTTTGTTGAATAAAATTACAACTGGCACCTGAAGTGGTAGGTTGTTAATTTGGATCTCCATCCGTCGATGGTACGTGGCGCAGATGCTCCTTGTCTTCATCCTCGCCGGTGAGGTTTCTTCGTCTGGCAATGTTGCGTGTGCTCATCAAAAGTACTCTCCCTATTGCAATGTCGTCTCTTGGCAGGTGCATCCAAGCCCTCGACTAGATCTCACCTTACACGCACGTACATTTATTAGATGAGGTGAGTATCCCAAAACTCTCTGATTTAATACCGAATAGAGGTGAATTATAAGTTAGATACTAATTAAAAAGAATTACATATGTATATTTTTCATAATGGTAGATTTGGGTAATATAAAAGTAAATTTAGGGTTTTTTTTTTTGCATTGCCTTTCGTAATGGTAGAAATGAACAGATATAGATTAGGGTTATTTTAATTATATTTTATAATGATATTTTTTTGTGTAATTTATATACAAATTTAAGGGTTACTTAATGAACTTTTTATAGTGACAGAGATGGGCAATTTTTTAAAAACATAATAGATCGAATAGCTATTACTTTTGATGATTATTTTAAGTCTACTAAATCGAAGACCAAATATTTTTTTAATAAAATTCTATGATTTATCTTTTATCTAATGCATCTTATGATAATCAATATAGATGCTCTGTTGGAGGCTTTCTAATAATTAATAAAGATGCTTTGTTGGAGACTTCCTAAGAAATTTTGCACGCTGCTAGAGATGTGAATGCTTTGTTTTGGACTATTAGTTCGATTGGTCAGCCCAACACGAAGCTAACGTCAAAGAAACCTTCTGGACCCTTCTACAGTCTGCTTGCATGTGTGTTCTTGCTCAGATATTACCGTGCGCGTGTGGTAACCATCGTAGGTGACACCATTAGATACGAGAGCGTCTCTGTGTCGATGCGAGTGTCCCCGGCCGCATGGAGCCATAAGCCTCGCATCGAGCTCCCCGATCGAGAGAGAATTACAGTGAATAACCGTACCCGTCCAATTCGACCCAATAGCCTCTGCACACCTCGACACTACCATAGATCTTCACGTCACTGTCGATTTAAAACCCCCTTCATTACTGGATTTTGAACTGACAATGACATACTGGCAATAGTGAAGGGGGCTCATCACTACCGTTTACAAAAAAAAAAACGATAGTGATGTGATTTTCAGGAAATCCAAAAAACAGACCGAAAAAATAAGAAATTTTTTAATTCTGAAAAAATAGGGGAAAAACATGTGCTTCATGGCCACCAGTGCTCGAACCCCTGACTTCCTACTTCATGTCTTTGGCCCTTAACCACTTCATCTGCAAGTTGTTTCTGTCTAAATGAGATTTTTGTCCTAACTATTTTATGTTTATCTGGTTTTGAAATGAGTATTTAGAACCCTAGATAAATTCAAATGAAAAAGTTATCAACTATAAAGTTTTATAACTTTTCGAGATCTACAACTTTCATTTTGGTAGTTTCTCCATCCGAGGTTGTTTACAAAATTTGAATTTCAAATTTGAGAAATTCAAACGTAGTTTTTCATGACAAGATGATTTCAAATTAAAAAGTTGCCAACAACAAAATTTCATAAATTTTTTAGATATATAACTTTCATTTTTTCTGTTTGTCCATCCGAGGTCGTTTAAAAAATTTAAATTTCAAATTTTTAGAAATTCAAACATAGTTTTCCTTGACAAGATGAATTCAAATAAAAAAATTGTCAACTACAAAATTTCATAACTTTTTGGGATGTACAACTTTTATTTTGGTAGTTCTCCATCCAATGTCGTTTACAAAATTTGAATTTCAAATTTTGAAAATTCAAACGTAGGTTGCGCCTGATTACATCTAGAGGATCTCCATTGAGAAGCACTCGAGTTGAAGATGTAGCGAGCAGGTTTAAAACCAGGTTGCACCAAACCTGTCCAAAACCCAAGTGTGCTACAATTTCCAATAAAAAAGCCCAAGAGACTGAATCAAAAGCTTTGGATATGTCCAGCTTTTTTGAAATATACTTGGTATTTGCTGTCGATGGAGAAGTTTGATTGTTCGCTGGACCAAGATGTAATTGTCATGGATACAACGACCGTAGATAAATGCGTTTTGGTTTGCAGATACCAATCTGTCTAGGAAAAGTCTCACAAAACATCACCATGAGTTATTATTTTGAAAAAAAATCATCATTGATATGATAGACATGGGATTTAACACTACTACAGAAAACTTTACCGAGGCGGGCATCGCAACCACCTGGACAAAAGGTCACGGTAAATAGGACCTTTACCGAGGCGGTTCGAGGCAAAAAAAACAAAAAAGGGAAATGCCCACAGCCTTAGCGGGCCTGGATCAGGGCCTCGCCGCCGACGCCCTTGCTCAACGCCACCGCCGTCGGGGGAGCTGGATTCGGAGGAGCCGCCACCGTCCGAGGGGGGCCGCGCATGCCCCATCGCTGGAGACCCACGCTGGCCGGATCCATGGCCGCCTGGACTGGATCTGGCCGGGGAAGGAGGGATGTGCCGCGGATCTGGCGGGAGAAGGAGCGTTGCTGGGCTGAGGAGGGAGCACCGCCACAGGAGAGCCCCACGCCACCGCCAGTCCATCGTGGCCGGATCTACGTGGAGGAGGAGCTGCTGTTGCTGGATCCGTGGCCGGGGAAGGGCGCCTCGTGCTTGCGATCAGCTAGCCGTCGCTGTGGAAGGATGCTGTGAGCCCACCGTCGGTGGAGGGTTCCGGTGCCGTGCCGCCGTGGCCGCCCCTACGCGCCACGGATTCGAGCTGCTCTGGGAGGGGGAAGAGGCAGCTGAGCCAGATCTGGCCTCATTGCCGTAGGATTCGGCCTCCACACGCGCCGCTGCCGCCGGTTAGAGAGGGAGAAGAGCGAGCTGGCTCCGATCGGAGGGTCACGGTGAGGTGGGAGAGAGGGAGGGGTGCGGGAGAGGGGGAGTCGCTCGGGGAGAGGGAGTCGCGCTCGAGCGGAGTCGCTCGGAGGAGAGGGAGTCGCGCTCAGGCGCCAGTGGCGAAGCCTGACAAAAGTGGCGCCGGTCAGTACTAATATACGCTGGGGTCTTTGCCTTTGGATAACTGTACAAAACAATAAATACCACTGAGTTTGCGCAAATTTATTGGGGTCAGCTGACCCCGACGACAAAGCCTAGCTTCGCCTCTGTCGGGCGCTGTCGCTCCGGAGAGTGGAGTGAGTAGAGGAGAGAGACTGGAGTCTCTAGGATTTCTGATTTGTTTTATATATTGGTGTTGGTAGTGGGCTGGTGTGGCCTAGCGGACTAGGCCTGATTTACCGAGGCGGTTGTGTTAGGATGACCGCCTCGAGGCGGTTGTGTTAGCATAACCGCCTCGGTTAATTTATATTAACCGTAGCAGGCAAGTTAGATTGCCCGCCTTCGTTAATGATTAACCGAGGCGGTTATTGGGCAGGCTGCCGGCCATCGAATAATGGCCTCCGAGCCCCAAAATGAAACGCCTCGGTTAAATTTTTCTGTAGTAGTTTAAACTATTTTTCAATTTCATATATGTCAATTTTTTTTAAAAAAAGTCTAAAGTAACACCTTAAATATATATCTTAGTTAATCACCTCTGCTATTCTAAAATAATAACCTCATGTAACCTCTAAATATTCATCTAAATTGCCAATCTATGCCAGTATTAAAAATGACCTGTTAACCCCCTAAATCTGCTTCAAAAAATTGTCTAATTAAAAGATCCACACTCCGGGATATATGTATGCTTTTATTTACTGAACATATACTGATATAGAAAGAATTAAACCACGATGTAAATGTATGATATGTGTTATCAT